GTAAAAGGGTTCATACACCGCTAGTTGGCACCGTTGTGCATATTTGTACATGAATCGTTGACAGCTAGTAAGTGTCAAATTGAACTTGCGCTTTAAAATTAGCTTCCGCTAGTTTTTCTATGGCATAAGCGCTTTTGAAGTTGCGGACCTAAATAKTTTCAGAAGCGCTTTAGAAATTGCAGAGCTAATTTTTGGATTAGCGCTGCCCACCACTGATTAGATCCAAACCTGTCTTTCTAATTGATCCACTACTGTATATTTCAAACACGCTGCTTAACAATMTGCTCTGCTGCTCCATTTGCATATTTCTTCCACTGATGTTTTATGTATGATTGATTTGTTTTGTTTGTTTGCAGTGTCACCAAGGGGCCACATCAAAAGCAATTTCCTGTCAGGTGCAAAAGCTTTTTTTTATTCTTTTTATTTTTTTTCTTCTGAGACTAAGAGACAATTTGTTTAAGGCATTTACTCCTTCCTACCTCCCTCGTTATCCTTGCCGTCRGAGCAGAGCGTTTCAGTGGCGACGTCGCAGCCGAGCCCTCTCCATCCTGACTGGCAGATRCAGTGCCAGACGTTCTGATCCAGGACGCACCTCCCGTTGTTGTTGCAAAGCCCGGGGCAGCCGTCTGTCAAAAACACCACGCGTGGGGGTCAAAAACAACCAAGCGAACAGCAGCGAGGAGATCAGAAGGAGAGAAGACAGGAGCAAAAAGAGGCAAATAGAGTCAAAAAAGAGGCAGAGGAGGGGTAAAAATMAAATAAAATGCTAGAAGACAGGAGTGAGTGAACATACAGTATGATACACCTGGGGATGTGGGGGGAGACTGTGAGGGGTTACAGTCGTTTCACATGAGTTTTTTTGGTGCAACTATTATGAAAAATGAAATGTTTCTGCGTTGACTTATTAATACGCTCGGGAAAAAAGCAAATGCAGTTAAGGTTTGTGCTTTTAAGGGTGGAAGACAAAAGTTTAATGAAGGCTTTCGCATGAATTTAGAAGACGACTATGGTTGGAAACAGGGTGATAATCATGTTTTTAAACTTAAGCTAGAAGTCTAAGGGTTTTTTCTTTTGTTCAAAGTTGCACAAATCAGATTTGAGAGGCTGAACATCCTTCAGAGGGAGGTTCACTGCCTTCGCCTGCGAATAATTAGCGCAGGAACTGCTCGTTGCAGATGTTGGAAACACTCATGTGAAGTAACGGCAACATCAAAGGGGGAGGGAAAGGAAGTATATATGTAAATAGGAGGAAGTTGGAGAAGAAGAAGAAGAAGAAGAAGGTGTGGGGGGGGAAGGGTCAAGAGTCTCCACATTTACAGAAAACAGTGCACTTGCTGCCAGATCGCATTCCTTCTATAATGGAGGGTGAAGACAGGGAGCCGAAACATGACTAAACCACACCAGTTCTGGGCGTTTAATCTGGCAGACACAGGGGACAGTGTGGGGGGGGTGAGGGGTGGAGAAGGGACCGTGGAGTCTGGCGTGAGACTTGTTCAGACGGACAGGAGATGAAGGGGACATATTGGGGGGGTGGGGAGCAGGATCACAGCAGAAACATTATGATCGACTCGGACATAAAACAGGTGTATATACGCCGTGCTAGGAGAGACAGAGAGCAGGGAGGGATTGTTCATGACAATCTCCCTTGTGGGGGTAGTGGTTCAATTTACCTTTATATCCTATCTTGACTGCTCCTATTACACAACCGAGGAAAGGGAAACATTTGGAAAAGAAAATTACTTATCTCKGTGGTGGCAGTGTGCGAAGACTGGCAAACACATTTTTTACTTAGAGTCACTTGCAAAAAGTGGAAAGCGGTGTCTGGCACACAGCTGCCTGCGAACGTGGGCTTAAATATTTAGAGAAGAAGCCCCGCAGGTTTGTTTTCTGGAATATCAACTGTTGCAATCACCATGTGTCAGCTTTGTCTCTAATTTCAACCTCTCGACTGTGCGTGAAAAATCACAGCATTTACGATGATTTGAGCTGAAGAGTTAATACTAAGCTTGAGTGACAACATATGATTATTATTACTGAAAGAGAGGGAAGTTCAACATTTTTAATGGGTCCACTTTTTTATTTTTTCAATAAAAGATAAAAGTTAAGTTGAAAGAAAATAATTTGAAAAAAAAAAAACATTTTCAGAAAGAATATATTTTTTTCATGCAAAGTGAAAAAAATGTCTTTTTACCTGATACTCTGGAATCCAAGGCTACACATGTAAGCCAAGAGGAAGTCGTAAAGAAACAGAGAGGTAGGCAGACAGGCATGCAGACATAGAATAAAGGAGAAAATGGATATAAGAAGGAGTTAGGCAAAGGAATGTATTTAGAAAGAAGTAAGCTGAAAATCTTTTTTTGAGAGAAGAYGACAAAGAGCATCTTTTGAAGTTTCAAAAGTCAGAATCTGAAAACCTTTGAGTTGAATTTGAAAAAAAAATACAGCAATTAATCAGAAATATTGACATTTTTATGGTTAAGATCACAATTCTCCAGTAAAACAACCTTGAATGGTTAACGTTGTTTTTTTTATTTGTCTATAGAAACAACATAAATCAATTCAGAAACTTGTGCTTGGTAAAATATTCATTGTTAACGCTCTCCATCTGCTTTTGTTTTGCCAAAAACAAAGAGAGGCTGACGCACAAAAAAGATAAAGACCACCCTAGTTTTTGGTGTTTTTTCACAGATTTCTACTTGTAACACTGTTTGTTTTTTCAACCCTGTATGTCAGTTTCATCTGAATCTGCATTAAAAAAATAACACTCGCCTGTCTGCTTGTCAGCATGCATACGGTCTCAGCCTCTAATATGAATCACAATGTTATGCTATATATTGTATTATTATTATTTTCTCTCTTTTTTTATCATCTCTACTTCAGAGATTTTATGCTAAGACAAATCAAAAACACCTTAGCAGCAGACTGCGGTGCTGAGAAAGCAGTTGACAATAGGGTAAGCCTTGCATATAAAACAGGATCTGGCTGCTTGTGGAAAAGAATGACCAAGGAAGTGCTCCATTCAGGAGCTGACCATGTAATGTGATTAAAAGGCGCTTTGTGCAAATGGCAGTTATTCAGGGTTTGAAAGACAAAATAAGCTCCCAGTTCCTTAAAGAAAAGGTAACGCGCCACCTATTCATAGCCTCGGCGTCTAAAGCATGGAGTTACTTTCCTGACGGGAGCCTTGAACGGGAGGAAAATAAAGAGAAAATGGATGACGTGCAGGCAGCCCCTGAGGAGGGAGAGATTAATAAGATCAGGAATGTAACCTCCTCCAACAACTACCTAACTGCAAACTCCTTTCTTTCCCCGCCGTCAGAGATGTGATGCAGACTGGGGGATTGCTCATGAGAGAACTTGTAAATACGTAATTGGGGTTGAAGAGTTTGGGAGGCTCGGGTCTTTGTTCCACCGGGAACGAGCGAGTCGTCATCGAGAGGCCGGGAATGACACTCGGGGGAACGGCGTTTGACGCGGCGTGTCAAGGTTTAGCTACGGAAACGTTGACAGAGGGGCCGATGTGGAAAAATTGTGAGGTAAAGGTCAATAAGAAGTGGCATCTCAGAACTCATTATCCTCATTAATGCCAGGTGAAGCGCTGCTATTTCAGAAAGAAATGATAATCCAAAGAGGCCTCCTGGTGGCTTCTTGGCTCCCTCAGTGCCTGGCCCCTGACTCACTTATACAACAAGTCTCACTTGAGCAGTCGAAGAGGTGGAACATATAAATCATTTATAGAAATTACTAAGTTAATGCGCGGCCCTTTGAAAGAATCATGTTTACAAGAAAAGATGACCAAAAGATGACCAACTGTTTTCAATTACAAAAACATAAAGCAAATAAATGGATTTATTGACATATTTTTTTTCTCTTCACATTTTATCCTAATAAATCTTTAAACTACTTTAATTCCATGTCCATTTCTTTCCTTCAGTAACATAATGCAAGCAGAGGACTATATTTCCACAAGGAACAACAGCTGTTTGCCTTTAGAAATAAAAAAAAGTCAAAAGCTAATGCAAATTTAATAAAAATCAGCATGTGTTAGGCACGAGAGAAAAATGCCCTCAAACCAGCTGAAGCATGGAAACATAAAAAAATGAGAATAGCAGGTATCGTTTCAGGCTAATTTAGATAAACATTGTGTAGAATATTTCTTGTTTTACACAGCAATGCTCTTCACAAACTGATCACAGCATGTTTAACAGTAAATAGTAACTAAAGTAGAACTGAATGTAATGAATTTGGAACTGAATGCAAGAATAAAACTTTAAGTTACAGATGGGCAATATGACAAAAATATGTTTTACAACGATTTTTACTTCTGATTCCTATGATGGACTATTTTTTTAATTATGAGATTAAAGCCATAAAATAACATGGATAAAGTCATAATAATATAAGAATAAAGCCACAATATTATGAGAATAAACTTGTAGCCAAATACTAGGAGAAAAAAATCATGATATTATGACAATAAATTCATGACATTATTTAAAAAAAAGTCACATGTGACCCATCACATTGAAACGAGGATTAAGCCTAAAAATGGTATAACGAGAAATGGGCAAATATAATGTTTTGATTAAAACATTTGCAAAAATTGCAACTGTCTGAAATATAATCATAAAACAAAATTTTGAAGACCTTTTTGGAGCAGTAGCAACAAAAAAGCTGATTTTGAGGAAAAATTCCTCAAAATTTTGAGACTTTCCATTTGACCTAGCCAAGTTTTGTTCCTTTTTAGCTGGGAAATCTCAATATTCAAATATAATTTGAGGTTTCCTCTTTATTAGGACATGAAAAAATTCTTCATTAAAACTACTTAAAATTAGGATTCAGACCAAATATTTATGTATTATTGTAACCAACAAGACAAATTAAGTCATATATACGGATTTACTCATGATATCAGAATGATCCAGGTATCAAAATCTAGCTTTTAAAGCCGGAATCTGAAAATGTAATGAGGTCATTTTGACCAAATTTRACATAATCCTCATTTTGATACGATAGGTCACATATTACAAGAATAAAGTCGCAATATTACGAGAGTAAAGTATCATTACTGGCATAAAATCATAACATTACAAGGAAAAAGTCATAATATCATGAGAATAAAGTCATGATATGAGAACTCCTACACACGACGTTAAAATGAGGATTGTTGAGCATTATATTTTGGAATMATTTTAAAAGATATACTTCACCTTTTAACACATCAGCATCAAATTACCAGTAGCAGGACTTTAAAATGATTGTGCAAAAGACTATTTGGATTCATATAATAAACTGAAGTCATATGGCATTGCAAAAAAATGGATACAAAGACAGATTTAGTCGTCACATAATGTGGATGGAAGCATTTTACACTAACAGTGGCCCAAAAGTATTTACGGATTACTTCATAAACACAGTGACACGCATTGGAGGCTGTCCACAGCAGGTCTGAGTCGACCCTGGAATATAAATTGGACATGTCATGTAAGATTATGCCTTTATTCTTGTAATTAGGAAAAAAATAATCTGTGAGGCCCTAATGCTCCATGGTAGGTTCCCCCTCAGCCACCTTAGACAGAACGGACCCAGAGACGATCCAACAATCCCTGCGATGATTCTGCTTTGGCAGGTTGTCAACACATTCTAATCCCTCACAATCTAGTTTTGTCACATTGCCCACTCATATTTTAAGTTTAAAATAAGTTTAGGCCAATTACTTGAGCGAATGTTGTCWTTTTTTTCCCCCGTCAGCGAGCGTGGCTGACCACATCCCAGCTGCAGTTTGGGTTCAGTGGAAGCTGGATTGCAAGAAACAGAAGTTTTACTCCGCCAACTAAAAATACCACTAACAGCTACTCACGACTAGTTTGCCAAAGTTGTTAAAAGAGTGTAGGCAGCGACAAAAGTATAACATGATCTAATGACTGAAACCTTTCAGAGAATACTGACATTCACACTCCAGCATTGCCCTTTTTTCCCTTGCCAATAATTGAACTTCCTCTGTGGTTTGGGTTTCTCTGGAAGGAGAGAAAAAAAAACGTGTGGGTGTGGAGTGCGGCATGTGTCATGGTGGCTCACCGATGGTGCAGTGTTCACCCGTCCAGCCCTGGTGGCAGTCGCACTTGCCCTCCCGGCAGACTCCGTGGTCGATGCAGCGTGGGTGACAGTCCCTCTGTTCGCACTCCGGTCCCGCCCAACCTTCCTCGCAGTGGCACACGCCGCCGATGCAGGAGCCGTGGGGACCGCAGTCCACCACGCACACCTCTGTCGCAAAAACAGAGAGCCGTTGAGACATATAGCTTCTGTTGTGCGAAAGAATAAAAAAAAAAAAACCTCTCTCTCCCCTTTGGCACTGATGTATTTTTGCATTCTGTGTAGATGCATCTGCTAGAAAGAAAAAAAAATGCTCTGATGTTTGCTGAGAAGTGTTTGCGCCCGCTGTTAAAGTGGGTCAATAAGTTTAACGGTAAACAAAACTTGCTTTCGACACTGTTCCTATTAAATGCCCGATAAGAAACTCCAACTTTGGATTGCAACAACAGCAGYGTCTGGTAGAATTTAAAACGACTTAAAATCACAGCTATTTGTTTAGGTTCGGCAAATGATGCAACATGTTACACAGAAAATGTCAGATAGTTGCTGTTATTTGATGATTTTGCTTTTTCTCCCCCCTTTTTTTTCTAAATAAGCCTAGAGTGCAAAACATAGCTGACATGTTATATTGATGTATTACAACCCAAATCAGTTAAAATGTCATGTCAACTCACACAATATAGATGCAACAAAAGCAGAGTTGTAATGTAACTAAGTACAAATACTTTGTTACTGTACTTAAGAAGAATTTTTGGGTATCTGTACTTTACTTGAGTAATTATTTTTCAGCATACTTTTTACTTTTACTTMTTMCATTTTTACACAATTATCTGTACTTTCTACTCACTACATTTTTAGAAAAGGTAAGAAGTAGAAAGTCGTTACTCCTATTTTATTCCGAGTTGTTATTACTAAAAAAAAATACTATCCTGATAAATTGTGTCTCCTGGATAGAGTGAATTTAATWGTGGTTGGATGAGAAGTATAAATATATACCATTCTGACAGCTTGTACAAACAAATTACAGCTGCACGTCATTAGAAAAAAAAATTTGAGAAGTCACCTCCCAATAAACGTCATTTTGGAAAATCAAACTGCTCACTTTTACTGAGTACTTTTACTTTTAACACTTAAGTAGATTTTGTGTCAGAAATTTACTTTTGATACTTAAGTACAGAAAAATATCAGATACTTTAAGACTTTTACTCAAGTAATGTTTTTTTTCAAGTAATATTAACTTTTACTGAAATATTTTTATGATAAGATACTTGTACTTTTACTCAAGTATCACTTTGAGGTACTTTGTCCAACAGTGAACAAAAATATATTTATTTCTCTAAGGTCTATAAATGTCATTAGCTTTAATAGGACAGTTTTTCAAATTTCCGAACTTTCGTGAACTGTTTTGCAACAAGACGGCGTCAAGCAAATTAAAACCAAATGAAAAGCATCAGCAAGGAAATGAAAAGGAGATAAGATGTCAAGCAAAATCTTTAAAAAGAATCCTGCAGTGCTTTAACCATGGAGGAGGGATGTGTTCTGACTTGCATCACATGAACTGAGAGTAAAAAAAAAAAATAAATTTAGCAAGAAATTCTAGAGAGCCTAAATTATTTCATCAGCAAGCTACTTCAATCCATGTGACGCCCACCTTCCATCTGAAACAACAACACTGTTTACAACATAAATTTAAGATTTGCCTGGAGTAAAAGAAAGAAAAAAATTAACTACCAACACGTCCACAAACAACTATTCTTTATTGTCACATTTGTTTGCGATCTGCATTATAATTTTATAGATTCAGATATTTATTTATGCAGTTGTGTCGAACCGAAACAACACTTGTAATCACTCAAAGAGCTCGTAAGAATGGAACACTGCAATTACTGTATGTCGGAAAGCTTCAAAAAGAACCACTCCAATGTATTACGGAGCCCCATTTGCCCGAGTGTCCTAACAGACTGAGGCGAGGGAGGTTGTGGATTTAAGCAGGTTTCTTTTGTCTCAACTCGGAGATGCAGGATGAACGTGTTTTCTTAAACTACGAAGACGCTGCAAACAGAGGAGCAGCTGTTGTGGATCTGCACTCTCTTAAGAAAATTCAAATAATTGAATCCGAAATTGGTGAGCACTCATGCTCTCTCATGTTAAAGCTAATGCTCAACAAGCTGCTTCTGCTCTTGTGGGGAGACAAAGGAATGTTGATTTGCAGGAAACGAGCTATCATCAAATCTTTTGAACGGGGGCTTTTTGTTGTGACAGACTCCTTCCAGAGAAAAGTCGTTCTAAAACACGCTCAAAATTTAACACGGTGCAGGAAATATCAATACATACTCCTGTCACTGAAAAAGTTTGTACGTTTTAGAAAACTTGGTATTGTTTCTTTAAAGAAAGTAGATGTTTATACAGCAGGTAAAATAAGTATTGAACACGTCACCATTTTTCTCAGTAAATATATTACTAGAGGTGCTAATGACATGAAATTTTCACCAGATGT